AGTTAAAAAACAAACGAAAAAAAAATAAAAATGAAAAATAAACATATTAATAAATGAAAAAATAGCCATTTAAAACTAAAGGACAATATATCAAAACGAAAAAACATGATTTTTAAAAAAAGAACATAATATAGAAAGAACGCAATATAAGAAACGAAAGAAAAATTTTTAGGTAATAACGAAAAGTTGGTTAACTAAAAAATAGATTTAATTCTTAAAAAGTAAAAGAAGCAGAAAAATTTTCATAATTACTACTAAAACAATTCTTCTCATAATACAGTTTCTGATGATATAGTGGAAATTTAAAAACTTGTAGTTTAACTTTTATAAAAGAATATAAAACAGTTCTGATTAATTTTGTAATTAAACATTATAAAAGATAGCGGTCTAAAGTCTTTTTAATAGGTTATGATTCCTGTAGCCTTTCGTCAATCATTTCTAGAAATTAATAATGAGTGAAATTTCTATCTGGTAGTGTTGATAATACAATTAGATTTTGGTAAAGATAGAATTAATTTTAGTTTCAATAAGTAATCACTGACCATTTAAATGAAGTATTATCATTAAGTTTAAATAACCTTGAAAGCAAACTTATTGCATGTTCAAAGGGTAAATCAATATTTGTAATGGAAAAACCTAGTTTTAATAAAAAATGGTGTATTATATAAAAAGATTCAACTAGATTAATATGGCCTTCGATTACATTTGATTAATGATTAATTATTTATATTACAACCTTATCTCCAAGAAAAAATATTGACCTTGATATAAATATAAATTTGTATCTGAAAAATAAGATTATGCTGTATTATGTGGCTTATGCTAATAGTAGTTTAAGACAAATTCAAATATATATATGCAAAGAGAAATGGGCAATTTTTAGTTATTTATATTTTAATTTATATATTCTTATTTAGCTTTCATTAATTTTGAAACATAATTCTATGAAAATAATTTTAATAGAATTACAATATTTCATATCAAAAAAAAATAATTTCTGTCAATATTTTTAATGAATCAAGAATATGAAAGAATAAAATTTATATTTCTTAGTTTGGATAAGTTTATTATAATGGTATCTGTTCTAACATTTATGCTTAGGATTTAAATAAAAAGATAGCCTTGTAAGATTTGAAATTTACATTTACGAATGTACTGAAAATAGATTTATTTTCAAAACTACCTTAGTTTTTCATTTCAAAAGGTTTTAATTCTATTTAATTAAATTCTCACTAAAGTTTAAGTGGGTAAAATGATTAGGATTTTTCGTAATAAAATAAGAATCACCTCGAGGTTCTCGTCAAATTTTATGAAGAAGAAGCATGATAAAAGTCTTGTATTGTCTTTTAATCCAAACATTTAATGAAATTAATATTTTATTGATGATAAATTACAAAACTAATTTTACAACTTTTAAACCTTAACTTTATCACTTTAAAGTATAATCAATAGATTTAATGTATGACTAACTTTTTAGTAACAAGAAAAAATTGTTTTATCATCATATGAAACAAAATAGCCATAAATAATTGACTAATAATACTGATATCATTCATAAATATTCTAATGCTATCATAGAGTTTAATTAGATTTGCATTTAGAATTTTTGAAATATTTTCTTTAAAATATTTTACAAATGATAGCTTCTGCGTTTGCATATATATAATATTATAAACAATTAATTTATTCACTAATTACAGCATACATTTTTATAATAGTAGATTAAAGAATTGATTGTTATTGTATCTTATTATTATTATTATTATTATTATTATTATTATTATTATT